TAGCAATAATATAATAAGCATGCATGTGCACCCGCTAGTTATATATAAAAGTGTGGATGTAGAGTAGAAGTTTTTTTTGGACTAAAATTACCCTCTATTTCATTATTTGAGAAAGGGTATAAAAGTCATTTTATTATATATTTAGTGTTAGTTTTAATGGTTACTAAAATGCCCATATTTAGTCCATCTCTAATTGTAAGCGCTGAAAATATAACTTTAATTATTACTTTCCACCTCATTTAATCTCCTCTCATTAAGTTTTATAACATCATGTATTAACTCCCATTTTCTCTTATTAAATCCTTAAGTTATTTTTCACTAATAAATGATACTAATTAGATCTATGTCCATATTTTATCAAATGCCACCTAAAAAATTCAACCGTCCAAATCAAATTGATCAACCTATGAAGTCATAGTCAGGTAATAAATTAAAAAAATAAATATAAAAAAATAGAAAATATAGAAAAAATTAGACACATTTATGATTTTTTTATTAATCAAATTAAAAAATAAGTGTAATAAACAAGAATGATTTTTATTGATAATGAAAATTAAATACATAATTTAGAACTAACAAAAATGCAATTATTTTACTATTTGGCAAAGATCAATAGTTCAAATTTTGGGTTAAATGTGTTAATATTTAATGTCATAAATAAATAAAAATTAATAAAATATAAAAATACAAAAGTGAAAAAAAATACACAAATTTTGCAAAAGAATATCCAAGCACATGTAGGGGTGGCAATTTTTCACCCAACCCGTTGAACCCACCCAACCCCACCCAGTATCTAACCCACCCATTTAAATGGATTGGGTTGGGTTGGGTTGTGGATAACCATTGGGTTAACCATCACAGACATAAGTATTAATTCCTTAGCCTTTTTTTAAATTTTCTTCATTTGAATTAAATAATTTATAATTAATGCATTAATTTTCTATTAATTATTTACTAAAATTAGTTTTGTCTTGAATCAACACATTTCACCCAACATAAATCCAAATCAATTTGACCCGAGTTCGGATCAGTTCAACATAGTCTAACCCCGATCCAACATATACCGATCTGGGCAAACCCGAATATGAAATAGACCCCGGATGGGATGGTTCGATACCGCTTGCTTTACCCGCTTTGGGTCGTCCAGTCCAACCATTGTTCACATAGGCCAACTCAAACCAATACAACCTGAATCCGAAACGGATCGGACCGGATGGGATCCGACCCTAAACCCACCCGCTTGCTTTGCCCGGTTTGTATCGTTCGGGCTAGCTCGTGTCCATACAACCCGACCCGAATATGATCTGATTTACTTCTCTTAACCTACTTCAGGCCAGTCAGTTTAGTCCCAAACCCGTGCACAAACCTGACATGAGCCGACCCAAGTCAATCCACTAGTGGTTGAACCGGCTCAGTCTGGTCCAATCGAACCAAACCGGTCCAATTGGGGTCCAGTCTGACCAAACTAAACCAATCCGATTAGAATCTGGTCTGACCGGACTAATCCGGTTCTAAACGATTCAACCACTCTTGATGTGATTAGCTCGAAAACAATCCAATTAGGTAGTTCAAGTTGGTCTAACCGGTTTGAACCTAAGTGGTTCGTCAAATCCGAAACCCAAACATAGCTAAATGGTTTTGTTGCTTGTGTAAAAATAGCATGCATGTAATGTGATTAGAACCTTCACCACTTGTGTAAAGTGCAATTACTATTGCCATCAAACTATGACCAACTTATTTGTTAAGAGAGAGTTAGTTTTTTTGTTTTAAGTACATAAATATAAGATTAATGGATTTGGGCAGGTTGGATTGGGTTAAAGCGGGTTTGGGTTGAACCCAACCCATTTAATTTTATATAACTGGGTCATTAACGGGTTGGCAGGTTAAATAGGTTTGGTTGAAGCTCAACCCAAACCCAACCCAACCCGCCCAATTGCCACCGCTAAGCACATGTATAATATCATATAATTATCATATTAAACAAAGAGTAAGTGTGACATATCAAAATTAATTTTTACACATAGATATACAAAAAAAAAACATTATAGAAAAATTTTGAATTTAGTCCCTATTTAATTGTGAAGTTTAAATTATAAATTGAATTACTACTTTTCACTTCATCCAATTCTCTCCATTTTGGTACTAAAAAAATCTCTCTATTTAAATCTTATATTTCTTTGATAAATGAACAGAAAAAAAAAGATACATAAAAAAAGATAAAACATTACAAAATGAAGAATCTAGCCAAATAGGTAGGCTTGTCAATGGTACTTGAAATTTCAAAACTTTATCATATTATCACATATTCGAATGAAATACTTATGTAATAAGATTTGGATTTTACAATCTGCATCCGGTTACTAATAAAAAATATAAATAAATAAATAAATAATACATATTCAAAAAATTTTTTGAATGCACTATTACTATCATAGAATTATCATATGCAAAGTATGTGCATGATTGCACGCTATGTAAATCAAACCCATAATCACTCACAATATCATTCATGAAGTTAAACGTGGTTTTTAATTTATCCATTGCTACTAAGAGCTTTGCGTAGGTCTCGGTTGAAACTCTTCATCAGTTTGTGGTAGCTACACGCCTAATAGTCATAATTATTGCACACTCTAATCTCAAAGCCACGGAAAGCTACCAAAACTCTTCTGAACTGCAACCCATTTGATGACTGGGGTGTGTCGTGTGTCGGACATTTTGTTACGCATGGGAAAACAAAAGCACAAAACAAAAAAGAGCATTCCAAAAAGTAAAAGCAAATCCGAAGCCCGAAGGTCTAGAAAAACAAAAGCCTCCACCCACACACCTAAGCATTACATATAAAGCCATTTTATGAACATGACTATTTCTCCTGTATATTCACATGGTAGAATTTAATATACAAATCCATAATTTTGTCCAAAAGCTGATAAACAGAGCAAGAGGTGAAAGAAGTATAAAGTATTGCACGCTTTATTTATTTATGGCCGCAGAACCTTCATTATGAGAAAGCAAAAGCGATAACATGAGGAGACACAGACCACTTAATCATATTACGGGACTCCCTGAAATGAGTAGCCTAACTTGTGAACTAACACGCTGTTTTTTTTTAAACAGCCTAAAGATGCACTTTTTTTCTTTCTTTTTTCCCTTTACAAATGAACCACACACCGCCCTTCAATCTTCTTGGCCCACAGCTTTTGGTGTATGGATCTGGTATGTTAACNCCCCCCCCCCTACACACACACTCTCGGAAGTTGGGAGCAAAGTCATACAGCTCCTTGCAGCTGTACTGTGTAATGGAAATATCTCTCCATATGAATAAAAATATACAAATATGGAGATGTTACCAATACACGGCTGGAAAGGCTGTGAGGACGGTGTAAGTACGGTTTTGTGAGCATTGAATCTGAATTGCCTAATTCCATTCATGAAATGGCTGTTGACTCATGGGCCTATCACTGACAAGCCCCCGACACATGCGAATTCAAGGTGGACTACTATGCAGCCTATGATAGCCATTAGCTGCATAATCAGCAACCACCAGAATGGCCAGGTGATAGTTGGCCAAGGGAGAAAACGTTTGGTGTGACTCTAGCTGTTCAGATGAAGCCCTAGATATCTGCCTCGGTGCCATGGAATAATGGAAGGTAGCAGGACCGAAATCAGACTCGAAGGACAATATCGATATCCCCAATACGCTGGTAAATGTATTTTATGTTCTTTTATTTTCCAAATAAATAAGACAATGAATGTTTTAACCATAAAAAATAATCATTAAAAAGGGCAATTTTGTTCCATCCAAGTGTTGGCAAGTTACCTATCCACCTAGGAGATGGATATCATTTACCCGGATAAGAGAAAATAAATTTTCCCTGAATCTCACATAAATCCAAAAAAAGAACACGAGTATCTTGGCCAATGGAAACCAAAATCCCATTGACCAACTTCCCCCCTCTCAAAATCCAAAAACCAAATGGGAAATCTGGTTTGGGTAGAAACCTTTCCTACCATAACATCTGATTAATGAAAAGGACATCTGCAGAACCCTCAGGAGACACTCTTTCAGCTTTGTTAGGCATACAGCCAATCAGGCAGCCCATCACCCTTCCAAACTCTTTGCTCCGTGCTAATGTTACTAGTACATGCACTGCCCATGGAGGCCAGATTGCTTCTTTCCTCCTAGTGGGCCATGAGGCTTTGTACCCACCTTAAAAAGTAATGAAATTGTTATTTGAAGTGGTTCCTGGATCTCTCAGCCCAGGTGGATCCCACACACAATGTTCAAATGTGAGGTTAAGAGAAAAAATAAATCATATCCTAATTCCTTAACTTTTTTTTCCTAGTTGACTGATACCTGCACATACAAGAAGAGAGAGAGGAAACGAAAGAGGGAATCATAGAGTGCATACCGCACAGACGCACAGATAGGAAAATGAGTAGAGAGAGTTGGGACAAGCCTAGAAGATTTAGGGACAAGCCAAAGAAGACAGATTATGGTATTGAACAGGACAGAATGGGAAATGAACGGAGAGAGTTGGGACAAGGCTAGAATATCAAAGAACAAGCCAAAGAAGACAGATTGAAGTAGTGAAAATATGATTCAAGGGTCAAAGCAATGAATATGGTTCTGAACAGGACAGAATGATGAAACCCCATATAGTTGGGACAAGGATTAGATAATGATGAACTGAATGATGATAATGAGATAGTGGAGAAAGAAGAAAATAAAAATACCAGATTTTTCACATGCTGATCTAGAGGTAAAGAGAAGACAAGTATCGTGTTATAAGGAGTTGTAGAACAATTCTTCTAACTGATCATATTAGCACTCAAAAAGATCTAAGTTTACTCCATAACGATTGGCATTGGCAACCTCACAGTCAAAAACCAACCAGTGAACCAATTTGGATGCAGCGTATTAGAGTCTCACTCTATACTCATGGGCGCAATTCGCAAATACCATAGAGAGAAGATATGTGAACAACATTCTAGATGATATTGCAACAAAAAAAAAAGGCTAGATGATATGGATCATTAATCTAGGACCTTATATTTTCTGAAAGACCTAATACAATTGTTTAAGAAGAAACCATGAACAAAGATGACAAGAATATTAAAAAAAAATTGCACATCTAACCATTACAACGACAACTGAAAGGTTAGGCTTCAAAGCAATGAAGGTCCCACTTTCGCAAATGGCCTGCAACACACAAAAAACATTCTGTGACTTGCAGCAAATGTGATAAACTAAAACAGTAGCAAACAACTCAAGCAATAGGAAAGTACCAATTTGGCAAGTAATCAGGATTTTGAAGCTCAACTGGTTGACGGGAGCATAAAAGGACTTCAGATTATTCTATTTGGAGAAGGGTTTTTATTGGAAAATGGCATACATCGATCAGAAAGTAGTTTTACATTTGGATTTTGGAGCCCAAAAAACCTATATGATTTTGAAAAATAGCTTCATAAGTATGATTGTCATCTTTTGCTTGGAATTTTGGTCAAATGCTATTCCATATTTTAATAAAAGGGTAAATCACTTATACCTCCCCTGGAGTTTTGGTCAAATGCTGACACCTCCCCTCAGGTTTCCTTGTGCAAATTTATAAGCTCAGACATACAGATAAAAAAACAAAAAACAAAAAACAAAAAAACAAAAAAAACTATTATAAGCAACTTCGATCTTGACTTTGGGAAGATTCACGGGAAAAGAGCAACACTTTTCAAGGATCAAAATCAAGCACTGATAGAGAATCACGAACTACCTTAACCAGGTATATAAACCTTACCAAGTGTAAAAGGCTTACATGAGCTCTACAACAAGGGCAGATGCTCCTCCTCCTCCATTGCAAACACTGGAAATTCCGTACTTCCCATTCTTTTGTTTCAGTACCTGCAATATCATTGCATCTCAACTGAGATTAGCGGAGAGGATACTAAATTTTCCTTGGGGAATAAATAAAGATGAGCTTAAATAGGAGATGTTTGTCCTCATATTTGTCTTGAGAAACAGACTACAGTTAACTATCAAATAGAGAAAGTGGAGCTTGAGTATTAAAACAGAAAAAGAGACGCAAAAGGCTTACATTCTTAAATGGTGTTTTACATTAAAATATGAAAAGTGATTTTGTATGAGTATTTGACAGACTACAATTGCAATGCCTTCATAAATATGGTACTACCAAAATGAAGAATAGGAACTCAATAAGCTCAGCATGCAAAACCAATAAGAGGAAGTCATCAGATATATACTCCTAACAGTGTGACCAAGATACGAGCTCCACTGCAACCTAGAGGATGTCCCAAAGATACAGCTCCACCATGCACATTAACTTTTTCCTGCAAACCAAAGATGACATGAACTTGAGTAAAAAAGGAAGGCAGCTGATAGCAGAGTGAATGTAAGGAAATAGAGCGAATCGCCAAGTAAACAAGGAGAAAAAGGTAAATTGTATTCAACATTCACTTTATATAATGCCACACTATGCCAAAAAGGTTTTGAAGAGAAAACCGGACTCACTGGATTAAGGCCAAGCAATTTCTGATTTGCAAGAGCCACGACCTGCAGAGGGGATTTCAGTAAATAATATTTCCAAAACATAGATTTCATAAATAAGATGCCAATAAGACTAACAGCCGAGGCATAAATTCTCACCGAAAAGGCCTCATTTATTTCATAGTAATCAATTTGAGAAGCCTCCAAACCAGCATTTGAAATGGCTTTTGGAATTGCAAGGGCAGGAGCCGTTGTAAATAATTCAGGTGCCTGCACAGCCAATTCCATTTCAGTACCAAGTTTCTATGGGATTTGAGCACAAAAAAATATGTGTACACACGAACAATCAGAAAAGAAAACCCTTCTCCACCTAAAACAATTAGGTGATTATGGCATTTTTCCTGGAGTAAAAAATGTTCTCTATTCTACAATCTTCTTCAAAATACCTGAGCTGCATCAGCATATCCTGTTATCTTTGCTATTACTTGCAGTCCAAGTTGAATTGCCTTCTCTCCACTTACTAACACCAATGCAGCAGCACCATCACTGAACATAAATTTCAGAAAAAACAAGTCAAAGTTCAGAAGGTGAAACACCAAAATTCTCAAGATTATTTCAATTCACACCAATGTTTACCAGATTACTTCCACAAACAAAAGATTGGAGCACAAATAATTATACATAACAGGGAACACATAACAATCTCAGAACAGCAAAAAGAGAAATGAACCTTCATTACTTCATACAGTTAAAAGATTGGGAATACCCTCCAATTTGAAATAATATCATGATGCAATTTAGGGGAAAAGCCCAAGTACAATAACGAAGACATTGTTTCTTAAAGGGTGTATCATTTTAAGGCCCATTCTTCTATTACAAAAATTACTTTAATGACTTTTCAACTTTCCAAACAAATGGCAGTTTCCACAGTTAAGGTCCTACAAAAAATGCAGTCTCAAAGACAAAGAATCTAAATTGCCTGGATATAGGAAGAACAACAGCTACCTTGGATACAGGATTTACACTAAAAACTGAATTGTGTACCATATGCATCGATGCACAGGTTTCCAGTATCATATCAAGGAAGGTCACCATCCAGCAAAAAGGAAGAAAGGGGGAATAACATGAGAAATAAAAAAACCAAATACATAGCTGATAGATGTAATAGGCCTGACCTTATGCTAGATGCATTTCCAGCTGTAACAGAACCTCCATCCTCCTTGAAACTTGGTCGAAGCTTCCTCAGTTTAACAGGATCAAACTGATAAGGCACAAAAGCCACAAATCAATCATTGCATTTATGTTCTGGAAAGCAGTTAACATGCAAAAGAAAGAGTATATATTATTAATGGAACAACTGAGGAAGATGTGTATTCTTTGGCAATCGGTTTGTTTCAAATGAATTTTATGCATCCATAATGGCTCTTGTAGATTATTCATAAAAAAGACTACTGTAGATGATTCAGTGCCTTATTTTATTGGAAATAATGGAGCACGCATGATAAAGCATAAAGAGAGCAGAAAAAGCAGCAAATTGCCTAGACATAAATAAAATGATATTAAAAACTAGACAAGTATCAGAAAATAATCAATAGTGCAAGAAAAAATAATAATGCACTCAAAAGAGAGTAAATCAGTTCAGTTCATAGGTCACAGAGGAAGAAACTTAATGCATTTATCTCCCTTTGATTTTTCTTCTCAATATTTATATTAAAATTTCCATTGGGACAGAAAGTCAAATATGCAAGAAAAATATCCCTTTCTGCAGCAAGAAGTTTGTTATATCGGGCTATCTACATAATATAGAACATCTTCAACACAATCATAAAACTGAACTATAAATGCATGCCCTATAAGCAGCAAGTTGATGTAATTTAAATACAACTGATTAAATAATCAGGTCATTTTACCTTTCCTAAACCTTCATCCTTATCAACAACAGTGGATGGTTTTCCTCTACCCCCAGAAACTTCAACCTGCATGATAAGGGAGAGAAAAATGCAGTAAATCTTGAAACTCCCCTATATCCCATACAATTTCTCCTGTTTAGCCATTAGCATACATATATGAGACTAACCGGAACTATTTCCCAGGCAAATGCTCCACTATTTTGAGCAGCAATACCACGCTCAAAACTCTGAATAGCATAAGTATCCTGCAGGAACCTCATAAACATTCTAAGTCAAAATGCTTCAGGTAAAACCATCAATAGAATTTGCATTGTATTGATTTATATAGGGGTGATTTAAAATGACAATGTGGTACAATCAAAGAATTTAATGGAAAAAGTACTGATGTGAAAAATCTCAAGGGAAATTATGTAATATGTAATTCATATTACATAAAACTGAGGAAGAGGGTTAACTTGTATGTAATAAATATACAAGCTCTCTTAAATGCAATAGGATTTGATCCGATGTGAAACATCTCGAGGGAAATTTAAATAAAATTTGAGAGTAAATAAATACCTGCTGTTCTCTTGTTATTGCATGTTGATCTGCACATAGTTCAGCACAAACTCCCATTCCAAAATTATTATAAACATCCCATAAACCATCTTTAAGCATGCCATCAACAATAGTATCATGACCTAGCCGTGATCCTTTCCTGCTCATATGCACAGATTAGAATGGTCTACAAATAACATTGCTATTCTAAAAATGCACAATAAGTACAAATAGAAAGAAATTTTCTGTTGATAAAATTTTTCAACTCCAGGCTGTCTAGCAGTCTTGTATCACTGGATTGACTCAATATGTATTAGCAGGGAAATTGCAAAAAGCCCATGGGACTGGGATTCTTGAAACATCTTTTCAGGATTTAATCCAGTTAAGGAAACTGCCTTAAGGAGGAAAATTAACCAAATAAGTATACTAGTCTTGTTAACTGGTGACTAAGATGGGTTTCTAGGTGGCAAGGCATTTTCTGGAGGGCATCTTTATATGACCTTTTTTGCATGCATGTTCAGAATTTCTTAGGCGAGGGAAACAGCAAGCTATGCCCCTTTTCATATGTTGTATACCATGTTGTATTTTGTTTATATGATATGTGTGTCTGTGTTGTTTATTATTTATTTTCTTGGGTTCTTGCTGCAACACCTCCTTGCTTGAATTTAATGCGTTCTTGCTTTGCTTATTTGTATGATTTCAATGCGCTGTAACATCCATTTGCCTGGATTTACTATAATTATTTAACAGTCAAAAATTTATTAAATAGAGTAGAAAAATGTGTACAAGAACAGTGTCAAGCATCCCAAATTCACTTGTCTCCTAGTCACCCAACTTTCTTTTATGTTAACCCCTTTATAGCCATAGTATCAGCCAAACTGTTGGTTGATCTATGTGTCCAGCTAATTATGAATCTATATGTCACTTATCATCCCCTTTGTCTCCCTCATACTGTAATGCCATGAACCAGTCCTTCCTTTTTCAGCCAACCCACCAGTACTTTGGAGTCCTCTTCCACTATTAATCGTGTGTTGTTAAGAGATGTTGCTAGCCTCGGCCCTGCTAAAGTCTGTAAATCCCCCTCCCCCCCATACCCAAATATCCGGGTATTCAGACTTATCATATTCACATGTGGAGGCTTCCATTATGAGATGAGTAGAGACCTTGCTGATCAATATTTTGCCATCCAATTAGAAACTTTCATAATGATGGTCCTCTATAGAAATGCCTTCCATGGAACTTTCCTTTGGTATATTTTCAATACAAAGTAACAAGAAACTGAAAACATGGAACATGCCAACACGGATCAGACCTAATAAATTTTATAAGTCTTGTTTGTCAAAAAACCAGAACCTAGATGGCACCTAAGAACCTGTCTATAAGGACTTAGTATATGTTTGGCATCGATGCTGCAGTTGCAGCACCGTTTTCTCAGAAAACGGTGCCTTTATTTTTGTTTGGAATCGTTGCTTCCAGGTAGGACGTTTCCTGGAGCAACAACTTTTTCTGTTTGGTACCATTGCTCCAGGAAACATTTTCAGCACTGGTACCCATTATCCAATGCCACATCACTGCCCTGTTGGCAGCAACGAGCTGCAGCTCCAGGAAATGCCAAATTTGGCGTTGCTCCAAGCCATGGCTTCCTGATTTCCGAGGCATGGCTTGGAGCACTGTTTTCTATAGAAAAACAGTTCCAAACAAATGCCTGTTTCCTGGAGCACCGTTTTTTTCCGATGTGGCACTGATGTGGCGCCGTTGCTCCAGGAAACGGCAGCCTTCCTCAACTTTGTTACCCGAAGATTGGCAAGGTTTGCATTATACTTGGAATCCAAACTTTGTCTCTGTCTGCTTCTATCCATTCCTCTCTAAAGGCTTACTGGTAGAAATCAAAAAGTTCTCTCTTCCTTCCTAAAAGAAACCTCAGCTTCAATTAAAAGAAAGCAAAAACACAAAACTCAAAGGAGAACAAATCAATGTTGAACCAAGAAAAGACACTACCTTGCTTCTGCAATATATTTAGGTGCATTAGACATGCTTTCCATGCCACCAGCCACAACAACATCGTTGATACCTAATTGGATACTTTGTGCTGCAAGAATTGTAGCTATGATGTCCAAAAAAGAAAAAAATTAGTTTTCACTTCTATATCAGAATCTCAATGAGAAGATACCATTTACCAGAGAAAGTCCCCTCACCCTTCATCCCAGATGCACAGACTTTGTTAATAGTTGTGCACACCACTGAATTAGGTATTCCTGCCCCTAACGCAGCCTGTCTAGCAGGAGCCTGTCCCAGATTTGCACTTAGAACATTTCCGAAGAAAACCTCCTGTACGAGGGCTGGGTCAACATTTGCTCTTTTAAGAGCACCTATATGTTGACAAAAAAGAAACTTTCAGACAACCTTCTGGATACTGCCTAAATTTAAGATTTAATAAACAGAGACAAATAAGGAAGGCTTTCATCTTACACTCAATTGCTATAGATCCAAGCTTGGTAGCTGATAATGAAGAAAGGGAACCAAGGAAACCACCCATTGGTGTACGTGCAACACCAATAACACAAACATCTATCCCAAAGTAAATAAAAAGAAAGGAACATAAATAATAAGCACATCAATAATCTATTTTGTAAATAGCAAGTAATCTACTAAATTAACCGATGGAAGTTTTGATCTATAGCCACCTGATTTTTTTTATATATTTCTAAAGAGATCAAAGCAAATTACAAAAAGAAGAAAACAAAGAAAAACAAAACCTCGAGGCTTTATTGAGTCTGGAGCCGCTGCAGCTGCTGGAGCCATTGGAAGATCAGTAGGGAGATCTGCAGAATATTGGTCCAACCGAAACATTAGAATTGAGGGAAAATATGAAAAAGAAAAAGAAAAAGAAAAAGAGCACTTTGACTTATAAAACATTCTGCCAAGCTTCACACGTGACCGGTCAAACAGCGCTAACAATTAGGTCATGCACATTAGCAGTTCATTGAAAAAGCATGAAAAACCTTACAAATCAATTTATATCAAGGAGAGAGAGAAAGATCATTTTTAAACATTTATCTTGCAATCATTTGCAAGATAAAAGGATGGATAAAGAGCATCAAGTGGCAACTTTCCAAGAAGGTTAAATTTTTATTCTTTTCTTCTCAAAATTAGGAAGGGAATCCCAGGAGAACTAAAAGAAAAAGAAAGTGATTTTTACCCAAATGAAATTTATGGTTCTCGATTGAAAAAAAAAATGGCAATTAGTTCTTTATAAAGTTAAAGGGATGGAATAAAATAAAAAGAACAAACAACCTAGGCCAAATCCGCAATTTCAGAAATAAATATATATGTTCAAGAAAATAACTACAGAATCAGCATATCAAAACATTACTTTTTTCTCATTGACGAACAAATAACGATGACAAAAATTAGCAAGTTAACAAAAGACGAGTTCGAAACAGAGAAGTGGAAAATAAAACAAATCAGGTCGAAAAAGTAAAGAGAAATGCACGAAATCACCCCCCACATGAACGGTGTTAACCTAGAGACTAAAATCAAATCTTCGAAACACGATTATTGCAAACTTAAAACATATAAAATATTAAAGAACCAAACGCAAAGGTTTAAGCAGAGAACTACAGAAGATCAATAATTTGTTTATCTAAGAAAAGCTAATGTATCGAAACTCGAAAGAGAATTACAGAAAAGCAAGCATATAACAAAATTTGTAATATAAATAACAAAAATGAACCACGAACCAGAGATCAAAGTGAACGATTGTTAAGGATTTTCACGAATAGAGCAGAGATGGCTTCACCTCGGCAATCTCACGCTCTTGATTGCTCACTACTCGGGAGAGAGACAGAGAGAGAGATATCTGGCCTGCTCAGCAGCTAAAAAACACTCGAACTTTTTATAAGAGTATATTCAAGAGAGATTGGTGAGCAGCCAACTAAGAATTTCATAGTTCATAGTTCATACTTGATAAAAAGAGTTATTTACAAGGAAGTCCCTCGGGCTCGTTTTTTGGACCGATTTATTCGAATTTCTTATTAAATGATTGAATTCACATCTCCTCCCCACTAGGGGCCGCCCCACAACGTCCCACATTAACCGCTGACCTGAAAATTGAAACCGTAAATTTTGATCAAACAGCTGCGCAAGGTAATGAGGCCAATGTTTCACGGTGTGTAGAGCTTTTTTACTTGGAATAAGGGATCCCGACGCAACCCACAGAGGCAAAGTGCTGGAATCAAGAGGGATCTGTCGCAAGTACGCATCTGTAATTTACCCTGATCATCAAATCAAATGGTTACCAGTCAATCATAATCATCAACTGTATCTGAAGATTCTCTGTACAAATTGGGTGAGGACTCGTACTCCCGTTCAAATTGAATCTGGATCTGTTCCCAATACGAGGTGGGATGTGACCGTGAGGACGGGATAAAACTGCGTCGGGATCGAGTTAACATTGTTACTCCATACAGCATAATGCCATAAGCCTTACATGCACATCATGCATCGAAAACATTTCCCATACTTACTTTTATCGGGTAGAAGATATTTTTAATACTAGACCAGATCTGCTCCTCACATAGGGCGTCTCGCACTGACCTCACGCACATTCTATTATGCATTGGGAACATTTCCCGTATTTATAAGTTGTTATTCGCAGGAGATGTTTTCAATGCACGGTGGATTTGCCTATGAGGCGTCCATGTGTGAAGAGCAGATCCCGTTCTTTTCAATATATAGTTAGGATGTGTTGTGGAGTGCCAATGTAAATAATGTGAATTTTTCAAGCTCTCAATCATGAATTTAGAATCTTTTACGTTATTTATTGTTAACTTGTTATTACTTGTAAGTGTAAGGTAGAATTGTTCATGGGCCGGTAGCCCGATGGTCCGGCCCGGCCGCACCCCAGTCGGGCTTGGTCATGTAATTAGGCCCACGGGCTTGACCTCGGCCCTAACATAGTAAACCCGACTGTGTTTCGGGCCGGGCTCGGGATTTGTCAAAAAAGCCTGGCCCGGCCCGACTCAGTATTATATATTTTGTAAAATATATAAATAATATAATATTTATTAAAATATATATTTTTTTTATTCTTCTCTCTCTCTCTCTCTCTATTCAGCAGCTAACAGTATGGGCTAAATTTCGGGCTCGGGCCCAGGCCCGGGCTTCGGGCTTTTTCTGCAGGCTAGGCTCGGGCCCAAGTTGTAGGCCCGATGGTCAGGCCGGGCTCAGGCTCGAGCCTTAGAAAATTCTGTTAATACAGAGTGAAAGCTCGGCCCAGCCCATGAACAGGTTTAGTGTAAGGTAATGGAATTTAGGGGAGAACATGATGATGTCTTATCTTTATCAAAAGGGAAAATTCCTTATTAGTATCCTGTATTTTGGACCTAGTGCCACTTTGGTCCCTAAACTTTAAAATGCGACAATTTAGTACCCGAACTTTCAAAACGTTTCAATTTAATACCTATTGTTAACTAGCTATTAAGTGGCATTTGAAAATACACAAATGCCCTTCAAGTGTCATCTAATTTTCTTTATCAACCATCCAAACATTGACAAAAAATTAATAATCCCAAATCCCTTCTTCTTCTATTCAAGAAAGTTGGTGTCACGTCTTAATAGGCATTCTGGACCCAACTTTCTTAAATAAAAGAGGCAAGGATTTAAGACTATTAATTTTTTGTCAATGTTTAGATGGTTGATAATGAAAATTAGATGACACTTAAAGGGCATTTGTGTCTTTTTCAAAGGCATTTAACGGTTGGTTAACAATAGGTACTGGATTGACATGCTTTGAAAGTTTGGGTAATGAATTGTCACATTTTAAAGTTCAGGAACCAAAGTGGCACTAGGCCCAAAATGGAAAATAGTGATGGTATTTTTCAAAAAAAAAAGAAAAGAAAAACAATGATGGTAAGACTTGACTCGTATTTTCTTATACGATGACTACATTGCATCAAAATGAGTGTGTGTGTGTGTGTGCGCGTTAATATATATTTTATCAATAAATAATGTATAATTATGTTTTAGATATATTAGATGTATTGTTTATATTTAATTTATGTTTTTATTTTAGTTTTTATTTTTTTATTTATAAAAATATTAAAAATTGCAATTTGAGAAAAAAAGGGATTTTTTTTCGCAAAAATAGCGGGGACACATAGATCTATTAAAGTTACCCAAAATAAAAAAAAAAATCACCCCAATCGGACATCGAAGTGCAAAGTTATAGTCCGAATGTTTACATGCATTGAGTGTGCAACCCGCGACCTAATGACTGGGTCAAACGTGGTTCTTGACCAAATCAATGGTTTTTTACCACCTAACAGTTTTTGATTGAACCGAACCTGAAATCTTGGCCGGGTCAACAACGGGTTAAAAACACTAGATTATTCTCATGTATTTTGGGACAATGCTAATTACCCCTTTGAATTTTCATTTGTGATAAAAAGACCTGCTGGATTTTCATATTCTATTAAGACCCTCTCCATCATTATTATGGCAGTTAATTTTGTAAAAGATTTTTATGGTTCTTTAAACTCTTTAAATCCTTAAACTATAACTTTTATATAAATTTCTTGATTTTTTTTGTTATTTTGAGAGGCCTTTTTTGAGAGGGGGGGGGGGGGCGGTACTTATAATCTTTCCAAACTAAGCCTGAAATAGAATATAGTAATATGCAATTCATCATTCTTTTCGTAAATTCAGATTTTCTCTTCAATGCACCTTACACCTACGGGTGTAAAGAGTTGAGCCTACTCGCGAGTTGTTTGAGTTCGACTCGCTAAATACTTGAACTTGGCTCATAGTAGTAATCAAGCTCGACTTGAGTTGAGTTCGGATCAAATGGCTTGTGAGCCTAATCAAGCTCATAATAAAATAAATTTTAATATATTTATAATATAAATAAACATTAAGTTTTTATATTAACTTATTTATAATATAAATAAACATTGAGTCAAGTCGATCGAACTGAGCTCGATTTGCTAGTAAGTATCAATTCGAGTTGAGTTCGAGCCAAAATATGAAACTCGATCGAGCTCAAGTCGAGTTTCAAGCTTTATTTTTTGAGTCGAGCTTAAGCTTGAATAGCTTGATACTTGGTTCGACTCGACTCAACTCGGTTACACCCCTACTCACACCAACCTTACAACAAGTTGCAACTGTGCATTGAGAATATCCCATGAATAACAACATACAACTATGAGAAATATTCCTTATTTTATCCCCCTTTTTTCATGCACATGTCTTTTTTGATAGCTGCATTATGACTAGGATACATATAATTGGGACATTCCACTCTCAAGTATTAATAACTCGATCCCGAGTCCAAATCATGTGTCAACAAAATACATTCCAACACCCTACTAATATCATCTGACACCATACATCTCAAGCATGGCAGTTCGGCTTCGATTAGTGTAATGTCCACTCAAAAGCATTGTAGTGGGAATATCTCCATACTTATGTGCTTTATTTTATGGGGAGATATTCCCAATGCAAGGTAGCAAGAGACTATTCGAACGATGTGAGCAAGGGCTTGCACTGATTGAAGTCTGTCTCCATGCATGGCGAGTCTCACTTTTATGGTGAGCTCTAGTTTCATAGTGAGATGTGTGGTGTTAAATCAAATTGGTAGGGGTCCCAACTCCAATACCTCACTATATCACTCATACAAAATAAGAAAAAGGGAAAACTCCCAATTAGTACATGTACTCTGGGCATAGTGCCACTTTAGTCCCCAAACTTTATAACGCAATAAATCAATACCTAAACCTTCACAAACGTGCCAATTTAATACCTATCATTAGCCATCCATTAAGTGACATTTGAAAAAATACAAATGCCTTTAGAGTATTATCTAATTTTCTTTATCAACCATCTAAACATTGACAAAAAATGAACAATCCCAAATCTTGGCCTCTTCTATTTAAAAAAGCTAGGATAACCAGAATGTCCACTAAGGCATGACCAATAGAAGAGAAAAGATTTAATATATTCATTATTTATCAACGTTGGATGGTTCATAAAGGAAATTAGATGATATTAAAACTTAAAAGAACATTTGTATCTTTTCAAATGCCAATACTTAACGGTCGGTTAACTTAAGATACTGAAATTTTAAAGTTTAGGGAACTAAAGTGGCACATGTACTACTAACTCACATGGCCAGCATTTTTTGGGTCAGAGTTATGACAACTGGAACGACTCCGGAAATATTTGTAAGTGATTCGCTTACGTGTCAAACAGCACATCCACGTATACAAATCGAGAATAAATCAGCTGCGCCACTTGGCGTAGTCTTAAGCAAAAACTACGAAATCACGGCATTCGATTTCATCGTAACGTCACTTCATCCAATTCAAAGTGAGTCGCAACAATAAATCGACGGTCGTGAGTCACACGTTTAATCCAAGGCTACGTCAATGGGCGTAGCAGATATTTCCCGATCCACATCGATCATGGATGACGCAACCATCACGAGGGGGAGTCGGGAATCAGGATATTTTGGTTTGGGTCCACGTGCCGCAAATTTCCCAGTTTTTGCTCGTTAGACTGGCGTCCTTGTCGTTATCTCCCTACCGACGAAACGCAACTGAACGCAAGGGACCGTATTGGACGGACCAACAAAGATTTATTGGACTTTGATCAATTTGTAATAAATTTATATTAGATTGGGTTGGATTAAGCCAATATTTAGTTCACATGTGTCAATGGACCAAATTTGAGTTAAAATCAATCTAAATCAAAATAAATTTGAACAGATTAAGCGGTCCAGATATTAAATTGAACCATTTAAAATTAATCCAAAACATTCATTAGATTAGAGATTAGACCTGATCCATTCATAATGGACTCAGATTAGACTAAATCAGATTGGACCAAATCCAGTCCAATTGACACCCCGACTGGACGGGATTATTTAACATGTCGTTCTGTTCGTTCTATCGGCATATATTATCCTTAAACGTTGATGGTGGTTGTTAATTGATGAAGCAATATTGCAAATTGCATTGCTTACATGAATCTGTAGAGGGCTGAAATACATACATATAACTCGTTTCAGAGTTAATTTGGGAGTTTCTCTTTGTAGAACCCTCCTCACATTCACCTCACAGTATATTGGAAAAACTTTCTGTAATAAGGGTCTGTTTTGATTCACTGGAATAGGAGTTTGGAATCAAAATCAAAATGGATTATTCTAATATTAACTGTTTGGTTGGTTGGAATCCAAATTTCATTCCCATTTCGGTGAACTGACATTTCTCTCTTTTCTTCCCTTAGGCTGTATTTGGTTGCATTACAATTTTATTTGCATTAATATAATTGTATAGGAGTGTAGATGAAAATAATACAAATTTTGGTTTAATTTTGTTTTGAGTTTTACTTTTTTTTTTTCTCTACTTCAAGTCTTATTTGCCATTATTTATACCATAATAAAAAGAAAATAAAATAAAATTTAAAACAAAAATAAATTAGAATTTGCACTCAAATCATTTGCACTACCATTGTGTTGCATCAGTACAAAATCCCATTCTAAATGATTGCAATTCCTATTTCAATTCTTGTTTAAATCAAATAAACTATATGAATAGAGTATTTATAAGGCATTTTGATTGGGATTCCAATTCTGACTGTAAACCGTATATTTTAATTTGTGAGAGAAGTTCCGCTGCAAGTTGTTTGAGGTGGATGTTAGTAGCATTATCTAAGGAAAAATGTGGATTTGATGACAAGGGTGTCCACAAGAGAAGATGCAGATGTTAATCAACTTGATTAATGGATTAATCAAGGGGACTCAAGCAGAAAACTTGATTTAAACCCATACAAGTTGATACCAAATCCAACCATTCAATTAGAAAAAAATAAATAACAGCCACAGGATCATCCGCAGAGAAGAAAAAGAAAAAGTAATAAATTAATACTTCCCTACCTACATAAACAAATAAAGAATGACCACCACGCCACCGAGGGCAGTCATGAAATAAGAAGTAAAAGACAGTCTAGCTGTGGCATTTGGTGTAGGAGGTCCCAACTCGAAAGAACCCGAACCCGACCCGTTAATCCCAACACCTCCACCGCCTGCTCTTGGGGGAGGTGCGGATTCTGGAGGCTCCATCCCATCATTCTGCACCATGACCCGGATGACCAGTCTCTGGCCAGATCTGCAATGCCCGGGCACCCCACTGACGAAGTAGAAGAAGCCGTAGCGATCCAAACGGTACACAGTGTTCCCATCGTCAAATTTGGAGATCGGCTTTGACGAATTGCAGTCTCTGTAGTCAATGTCGTTCACCACAAGGACCGAATCGTTTTGGTACTTGAAATCTGCGCCAAGAAGATAGAAGAAGAAGAAGAAGAAGAAGAAAGGAGAAGATCAAGCACATTGCATTTAATTAATTAAAAGGGGAGATAATGGTGGGAGAGGAATCTCCAACGACGAACTTACAGACGGAATCTCCAACATGGAACCGGTTTCTCGCTGCCCACTCGTCGTAGGACTCGGTCTCGTTTCCCGTGGGCTTAACCCAGCCTCTCTCACCACCAACTTGAAACTGATAAGCAGACACTGAAACCACAGCCAAGAAGACAAATGAAGTAAGACAGGAGAAGATCATTAGGTTGCAGACTTTATTTGCTTCTGGTAAAAGAGAAAGAGGAATCATTGCTACAGCTTGTGGGTAGAGAATAGAGACTTAGAAATATTTTGCATTGCTAACTGATAAGAAGAAGAAGAAGAGGGGTCCTGGGGTGGGAGATAAGGGAATGACAGTTAATGTTAGTTACTTTTTCAGTTTTTCCTGGACGTGGAAAACAGGGATGAGGGATAGTGGCTAGTGGGAGTGCGTGCAGTTAAGCCTTAATTTGAATCCACGTCTTTTGGTTAAGTTTCCAGTTGGCACTTTAGTGATCGTGATTGTTGTGGGCACGTCGCATTTGGGCAAAAAAAAAAGTCTCATTTCTCAACTAATCTTGGATACAAATAGAGTTATAGATAATATGTGTAGTTATATGTAGGGGTGAGCATTAGTCGGTTCAAATTGAAAAATCGGGTGACATTGGCAATTTTCTGTGTATTCCCGTTTTTGGAAGTTTCTTGTGGAGTTTTGACTTTGTTGGAGGTCGGTCTTTTTTTATTGGCGTTTTCATCTTCTTGCGCCGTTTGAAGAACGCTTACAAGAATTTCTCCTGATGTTCAGGATTTGTTACAATCTGTATTGGGTTTATCTTTTCTTTTGGATTGTATTTGAGTTTCCAAGCATTCTTAATGAAATTAGCCATGGCCTTCAAAAAAAAAAAAAAGAAAGAAAAATCGAACTGAAAATTCTGGTTTCAATTTTTTCGGTTCAATTATTCTGGTTTTTGATTAATTTGATTCGATTTTTTCAGTTTTTAAATATTTCAGTTTTGATTTTGGTTTTTAGAATTAGAAATTCGGTTAATTGAATTAACTGAACTTTACTACATAGCATGTATATATAATATATTATATTTAATATATAATATAATAAAATTTGATTTCATAATATATATATATATATTATATGTTGTGATATATATAATATATAATATAGTATATAGTATATATATTTTTGAAATTTGGTTTTAACCAAAATAACCAAAAACCAAATCGAAAATTTCGACTTCGATTATTTCAGTTTTCCTCTAATTCGGTTTTTAAAATTTTGATTTATTCGATTCGGGTTTTAACCGAATAAACCGAATGCTCACCCCTAGTTATATGATTTGAACTAGCTCGAAGGTTTAGATATTGTAGCATTTTGGATGACAAAAGCCACAAGCCCATCTAAATGACTTTGAATTGCCATGATTTATTCACTTGTATGGGCTTTACTCTTTACCACCACTTTAAAAGAGGTTATATTTTTAAAATTGAAGCCCCAAGTTGTTATATATGTCATATAATGACTAATTATAGATGTTAAGTACTATTGTAATTATATATTTTTAATTTATAAAAAAATATCATATTACAATTACTTTTTATAATCACAATACTATCGTATTATTATTATTATTATTATTATTATTATTATTATTATTGATGAAGGGTAATTTGGCATGACCTAGTAAGTAAAGGTCACATGGACGCGATCTGCTAACAGGATGACAACTCGACAAGGGGAGTCTAGTAAGCAATTTTGGGAGCTCGGGTGTTCGGGCACCTCGACATAAAACCACCTTGGCAAGAGAGTCACCTTGATGCCTAAGCCAGTTTGAGGCCTAGGAACCGAAGTGACACGTAATCAACTCTAGAAGCTACTCAGCTGACTCCGAATCTCCAAGGATCACGCTTTGTAATGGCGGGCCTTATCCTCTCCCCTCTCGGATCGGGCGGTAACGATAGATTTCACTGACTGGTACGTTACTCCCCGCCTAAAGTGGAAACGGATCTCATCTACTTAGGCCGAAGATCCCAGAAACGTTTCGTGAGACCCATGGCAGCTTAACTATATAAGGGCATTAACTCCTCCAAGGCCCAGGTACGCGCGATTATTTATATACAAGCTTTCTAGCAGTCAAGCTTTTAGCTCACAACCACAGCAAAGAGACTAACTTAAGCATCGGAGCGACCTCAGCGGGTCATCCACCCCGGTCTCTCTGATCTCTGTTTTATAGTTTGATCCAGCTCGCCATGCAAACAATGTCCAGGCATCCTTCCAGCTAGAAGCTTTCAAATCACACATCATCAATTGGCGCCGTCTGTGGGAAACGATCGAAAGGTCATCCCAATTCCAGTATCAATCTCCATGGCATCCCCAAGCTATACCGAAAAGAGCAGCATGAACGTCATTGGAGGGCAAGAGTAGCAAATGGTCACTCCCCAGGGTCCCTTGGTGACCATTGGCCAGTTCACCATCCCCCTGACTGTCTTCGGGGCTCCGTCACTATCTGTGTCGCACACTACCCCACAGGTGAGTGTCCCGCTCCCCCAAGTGAACACCATGTTCTCAGAGCCTTTTGCGATTCTCCCTGGGGTTGGGCACTCCCAGTTCAACGTCCTCGTTCAGAGCGTTTGGACGATGCAGATACAAATGCAACAGATTCACCAGTTCCAGTAGTTTTAGCAATATTACTTCTATTAGAGGTACCAGCAGTAGTTCCCACCGCTGTAGCCGAACCAGCCAATAAATCAACGTCAAGGACAGATTCAAAACTAGGACCAGCATCGGGCTCATCAAGGTATCTACCAGTCTCCTCCCCATAGTGAAAGAACTTCACAGGTGTTGGTCCCTCCCTTGGAATGAACCCCGCCATGGGGTAGAGTAGATGATTGGCATACTCCCCCAGTCTCCTAAAGAGAGAACTCGAAGGATAGTCCCGAACCTAGCCAGCCCGAGAGGCGTAGTTAGCAGCTTCCACATCAAGATAACATAGATCATCAACTCGAGGCCCGAGGTGCGGGCTCAAGAGGAGACTCCTCGATATCCCACGACAACTAGCGCCAGACATGCGGCTTAGAAGCAACAAGAAGAACCCCTGATCCACCTCTCCTCATCATTTGGAGCAAGATCGAGATACCCGACAACACTGAGGTTGGCAATAAAAACGCTGCACCACCAAAGAAGCAACAGTGGCGACGTCGCAAGACTCGCCGTTCCTCAACAAGGAACAACCCACCAGCGAAGCCCATCCATCTCGTAGATCAAAGTCGAGAAAGAGAGGAGGTAAGCTCAATGGCCACGAGAACAACGCCTGCTCTGTTGAGTCGGCCATCCCCTGTCACCCGAGCTCTTGGCGGCCCCAATGTCGAAAGATTTCAAGGTACCACCACTAGACAAGTATGATGGGTCTTTTGACCCCAATGATCATGTAGACGCGTTCCAGTCCCAGATGCATCTTGCCGGGGTTGACAAACCTTGCATGTGTGTGGCTTTCTCCACCACATTTAGAGGAGTAGTTTGGACCTGGTATAGAAACCTCGCACTGGGTTCCATCAGAAGTTGGGTGCAATTCGCAAACATGTTTACGACCCACTTCATTACCAGTAAGAAGTGCCCGAAGTCGCAGAAGAGCCTTCTGAACAGGGTGCAAAGGGAAGGAGAATCAATTTGAAGCTACATCAAGCGCTTCAACAAGACATGCCTGCAGATACCAAACCTTGATCCAGCAGTACGCCTCACCGCAGCACGTAAAGGAATTACTCATAAGGAGTTCAAGTGGCACATCGTGGCAAACAAGCCGAAGAACATCACCAAGTTCCTCAAGCTGGCTGATCAGTTCATCAGTACAGAAGGGGAAATAAACTAGAAGACCGACAACCAGCAAGGCGAAAAAAGAAAGAGAGAAGAAGGGACAAGCAACAATAAGCAGAAAAGGAAAAAGAGCAAGCCCCCAAGGCAAAGAAGCAAGTCACTGAGCTCAAGGAGTAAGTCCCCCTCACGAAGTTACAGGTCGGGTCGGCGTTCCAAGACCCCGCCAATGGAGATAACCAACTATACTCCCTTTAACGCAAAGCGAGGAGAGGTCTTGATGGCCATTAAAGACTCTCCTCCATCGTTAGATGGCCACCTAGGCTACGGGGAGACCCAATGACTAGGAATTCGAATGTTCATTGTCACTTTCATCGGGACCATGGTCAAAGCATGAAGAACTATAAAAACCTCCGCGACAAGATTGAGGAACTCATCCACCGCGGGTATTTGAAGAACTACATTTTGTGCAAGGAGAAAGGACAGGGGGACTGATAGGGAGATGGGAAGAAGGACGCCCCAAAAACCAATAGGCAGAACAAACAACCACCTCGCCCGCTACTAGAAGAAGGACCGATCTGTGGGGTGATTAATATGATCACCGGGGGATCCATTGTAGCAGGGTGGACAGCAGCAGCGGGTAAGACTTCAGTCCGAGAACTGGAGCACGAGACAAAGAACCCACCAAAGCGACTTCGGATTGAAGAACCCATTTATTTTACCGAGAACGATGCTTGTGGGTTTCAATATCCTCATGACGATGCCCTTGTCGTAAAATTGATCATCAACGACTTCGAAGTGAAGCGGATCTTGGTGGAATCAGGCAGTCCGGTCGATATATCCTCTTCAAAGGAACCTTTGACAAGTTACAACTGTAGTAGAGCGATCTGAAACAGGTGGATACTCCACTAGTAGGGTTCAGTGGAGAGGAAGTTAGGCCTATAGGTCGGGTCATAGTACCAGTGGAGGCAGGCACGTGGCCGAACATTGTACGGTTTGAGCATACTTCTTGGTGGTTGCGACTCCGTCCCCTTACAATGCAATTATAGGTCGGCCCATCACACATGCTTTACGCGCGATAGTATCGACTTCTTATCTCGTAATGAAGTTTTCGACTGATTACGGAGTAGGGGTCATAGGAGGCAATCAGCTCAAATCCCATAAGTGCTACGTGGTTGCCCTCAAGGGAAAGGCAAAACTAGCGGAAGACGTTGAACTGGAGCAACCAGCAAACTACATCGAGGAGCGAGCTGCCCCGATGGAAGAGACAATCCACATACCAGTTTTTGAGACCGATCTGACCAAGACTCTCCAGATCGGTGCACTGGTAAGCTAACCACTCGGAACTCAGCTAGTAAGTTTCTTACTCAATAATTTAAATGTTTTCACCTGGACCGTGGCAGAAATGCCCGAAATCGACCCTAGTGTGATAACTTATAAACTTAATGTGG